TCCTTCCTTCCTTCCTTCCTTCCTTCCTTCCTTCCTTCCTTCCTTCCATCTCTCTCTCTCTCTTTCTCTCTTTCTTTTTTAAAAAATTAATCACGTTTATCTCTACCATTGTGCCAATGAAGAAAGGGAACCTTGACCTAACTGAAACTAGGACAGTTGCCAGATTTGGCACTGTCCTGTTTGTCCCCATTTCCTTCTCACTTGCTGCCTTTTCTGTCCCTCAACAGGGAAACTGAGTTCTAAGCCCACATTCAGGTCCTTGGCTTCCCTTCACTGTTACTTTGCTGATAAATAGTCACCAGAACTAACTTCTCCTAACACTGCTGTATGTTTGGTCCCTCTACTTTTTTTTTTCTGGAAGCTCAGAGATGTTGATGCTTAGCTAGCCTAAGAGGAGGCCATGGAAGGGCCAGTGTAGGAGCCAAGGAAGGCCAGTGGCGAACATCTAGAAACAGCTTGTCAGTTGTGTGATTCCGTAAGCACTTAAGTTCATTCCAAGCCCAGATGTGGCTCTTCCAGAAGTTTGCTGCCTCCCTGCGGGTATCCTTGAAGAGAAGTGACTCCATTCACCTGTGGCAACATAGCCTTATCCAAGTCCTAGGACCATAGTGCCCACGTGGCTACCACAAGCAATTATAACCCTTTGTGACAGCTAATTATGTACAAAAGAATATTATTTAATACTTTAGGTCTTGAAACTCAGAGCTATCTATTAGGAAGAGAAAAATAGGTATTGTTCATTAAAAAATTGAATATATTTAATTTCCCAGTTTTTCAAAGAGATTCTTATGATGTCTCCTCCAACTTTCTAAGCTGTTTTTATATTGGAGATATGTTTTACATTAATGTAGCTTGTATTTTTTGAATTTCCATACTTTGGACCATTTATATCCATGATAATGACTGTTATTTAGGATCCTATTCGTAAATATTTCTGTGACAAGCAAAAATGAAAAAAAAAATACAGCATTAGCAATTGTCTCAAGAAAGCTTGGCTAGCTATACACATTTTTTTTTAAATTATACCTCTCATTGATTGTAATACTCTGTAAAATGACATAGAGCTAAATTCTGTTCTGATTAGGGTCACCTGCCATTAGAAAAAGCAGCATCCTATAGAGGCAGTGAAGCTATTATCTAGAAGAATATTGTAAAATGATTTTGCTTTGAAATAAGCATAAAAGCTCTTAATTAAAAAGCCAGGCAGCTGGTGCAGGGGCAGGCAGGGCAATGTATTGACTCTAATGCCTGCATTTCAATCAATGTCCTAGGAAAATGTCTGTCAAGCAACATGTTTTGGCTTTAGCTTTGTTACTTCTCACAATTATCTTTCAGTTTTGGAAAACCCATATAAGTCAATGTTAAAACACACCATCGCATGTGACATCCTTCATGCATTTTAGTCAATTTGCTCATAGTCCATGCGGCCAGTGATTACCTCATTGGGGGTGTTTCCCCCAGGGCTGTAGAAACCTGACCCTGCAGGGTTTCCATAATATTGTCATCTGAGTACAACTGCATGGGTGTATTAAACTGAGCATGAACAATCTTCACACCAGGAAGTTCCATTTCCAAGGGAATGTTAGGGGCCATCTTGGCAGCGACTTTCAAGTCACCTGGGCAAATAGTGCTAATGGTACTGATGGATGAAGGGGTGCTACGTCCGCTGCCACAATCAATGCCGGAGGGAGTGCTGCATCCACTGTGTTAATAATAACCCGTTACAGAGAGACGACACAGAAAATGAGGGTAGACAGACACAAGGTAAAATAAAGAACATATGCAAAGAAGTTAGACAGGATTGAAAAGAGAAGGAAAGAGGTGAATTACAGCAAAAACAGAAAAGCAAAAGGATATTGATTTCAGCCCAATCTGATTTTTTTTTCTGTTTTAAAGGATATAGGCAATAAGAAGGAATAATGAAAAAAACACGCCTTTAATTTAAGACTGAAAAATGAAAGTAAATTAAATCACTGAAGGCTATTAGCACATCTTTTCATACTGCCCCGCTATGAAATGTATTAGTTAAAAGTTCCAGGAATTTAGGAGAATTTTTTAGGATGGGGGGTTTGGGGGAGGAGAATGAGGGCTGGACCTATGATTTCTTCAGTTTGAGGCATTTCCAGTGTGGAAATTCCCTCCCCAGATGCAGATCTGTTACTCATCTGTGAATTACAATCTTAGAAGTTGACTGGCACCAAAAGGTTCTTATCTTGCTCATTGTCACACAACTAGTATGTATCAGAAGCAGGATTTGAACTAGGTCTTCCTGAACAAATTTCTCAAAAAGAAGTATACTCCTCCGTTCAGAGAAAAATCTAAGTAAAGGCAACAGGAATGAATGCCACCAAACTGCCCTTTCCACTTAGGACAAATATTTTAAACAATCCTTTGTTGAAAATTAAACTAAAGAGGGATTGTGAGCAAGATCAAACAGGCTGGACATTCTTTTGCGATTCTGAATTTCCACACTTAAGGAACAGATTAAATAATCTTTCACAAATAGTTATTAAGCACAACAGGCAAAAAAATCTATTTAAATGTTTTAGATTTTGGTCTATGATTAAAACAAAAAGAAAAGAAAAGAAAAGAAAATTGTCCCCCAGGTGGGCAAGTCTCTGATGCAGTTAGGTTGTTAGTTGCTGAATTATAGGATGTTCTGAAGTCTCTGGTATCTTTTTAACCTTTTGTCTCTGATAGAGCTAAATTTTTAAACTTACAAAATAAGTTTTATTTGATGTTATTTCACAATTTTATGGTTTAGTTTCTTTAAACAAAGGCAATGTCTCATGACAACAGTTTTATAAAAATATGGTTTTGTTTGCTATTGTTTGGCAATTTTTAAAAAAAATCTTTAAACAAAGACTTGCTGGCTCATAACTTAAGCCTCA